GCGCATTGCCTTCCGTGGCTAAGACTTCCGTTTTTCTAGAACCTATTTCGGCGCCTCATCTCTATGAGTACTGATTAGGGTCTTCTACAGATCAGGCTGAACAAAGGTTTCACCCCAAAAATTGGTGAGAGCACGTGCTCTAAAGCACGATGCCCCGCTGTTAAACACATTTATGAAGAACTGATCTTTTTATTATTATTCAATAAGACCCACCCACCAGCTACCCCATGAGTGTCAGTAGCGGTGCTCCACGAGACGCTCATGAGAAGGGATCAGAATAGGCTAGCCATTGTTGTAATTATAATGTAACATGCAATGCGACAACAATGCCGAGGTTCTACGAAGAGAGAAGTTGGAGTCTGCTAGCCATTGTATTTCGGAACACTTCTGATGTGGCAAGATGGCTGTACTGACCATGAGATCCCCATAAAACCTGATAGATCTGAAAAATGATGTTTGTATCCACGTGCAATCATGATTAAATATGGCCTCCCACCATTTTTCTAATCGATTTTTTTAGCATGGCTAACAGTACTAGATGTGGATGTTGCGTTAACTAAATATTTTACGAAAGCGTCAGTAGTCTACCACCAACGATTCGGGAGTCCTGCCATATAGATTGAACCTCGTATAATTTAGGTTCTCCTGAGTTTTTGATGGAATACAAGGAAAGATTGGCACTGCTGATGCCACAGACAATGTGGAATTTAACTATTAACAGTTTGATCACATAGTTCAAGATGAAAGGAAAACAACACAATTTTCACATTTTTCTAACCAGGAAAACCTTTCAGCTCGTGCCTCGCTTTGCTAAAAGGGTTTTTTGCATTATAAGGGACATGTTCATGGAACATGGAATGATGGTTCAATTTTCTAAGCGGGCCACTGAAGACCAAATCAGGAATGAAATACTGATTCGCGATTCGATTCCCGGTAGTGCCAAAAGTTTACGTTTTCGATTACCGTTTGCATGATATTGCAGAATGGTACCCTCGGCTGGTAATGGATGCCAATTACCTCTAGGACCATCAGTAACTCGTTCGAATAGGTTTTTACTAAAAAAGTGTCAAAAAGGTTGAGCTTTTTTAGCTTCCTTCTGGCATTCAGAGGCCGCTCGGGACAAAATAGATCATAGTACTGTGCTCCATACATGCGTTCCTACATCATGCGACAGGCCGTTTTTGAAAAGCGGAGCACGACCTGGAATACCTTCCGGGTAATACCGTGCGACCAAAAATTACAAAAGAAGTTCATGAGAATTTGGAAACTCTCCGACTGGTAGTTCTTTCAGTTCTGTTCTATAGCCCTAACCTCGCGCCAGCGAATGATCACCTACTGTGCTCTCTAGCAGTCTTCGAGAAGAAATTTTGCGTTAAAATAACCTTAAAACAAGCATTCAACCTTTCTTCGATTAGAATTCATGGAATTTTACAGTAGAAACGTTGAACTGCTGCCAGCGCATTTACAGTAAGCTTTAGATAAAGGTTATGTACTTTTTGTAGAACACATAAATAAAAGAAATAAGGGAGAAAATAGATTCGAAAAAGTTGAGATGATTTGGAATTTATGGACCAGCCTAGTATGTACATACAACTGAACTCAAAAAAATGCACCCTTTTTCGGCCGTAACCTTTTTTCTAGTGGACCAAATTGCTTCAAATTTTGTATGTATGCATATTGTATGATGTGTGAAACGTTTTTCAGCTTTTTCCGCTTCCAGGATTGCGTGAGGTTAATAATGGAGAATCTGCAAGAGCAGGGTATCAACGTCATCTACGCAAAAGAAGTTGAAAGTGTGCAAATGGATGGAGAAAAGAAAAAGGTGGGATGACTGTGGATCTAAGTAGTCATTCAAAATCATTTGCAAAACTCGGTCATGCTGGGATGAATTTTAGGATATCCTTTCAGGTCTCGTTCAGCAAGTATCCTGCTGGTCAGAGTTTATCCAGTGAAGTCTACGACACTATCGTTTGGGCTATGGGTATGTTTTGAGGATCCTAATGAATTTTCTTTCCGGTTTTTATTGTTCAACTTCTTCGACATAAAAAAAGCTGTGAGCATTCCTACATTCTTTTCCAGGTCGTGATCCTCAACATGACACCCTCAATTTGAGCGCCGCTGGTGTGAAAACTGATAATTCTACAGGACGAATTGTCGTGGGTAAAGATGATCGAACGTCTGCTGAAAATGTTTACGCAATTGGAGATGTAGCCTTAGTAAGCCAGCTTTCTGAACCATGTCACGTTGAGTGATTCCTCGCACGAGGGCTCGTATATAAAATTATTTAAACCATTTTCGAATCTCCTGTTCAAGGGCCGCCCAGAATTGACTCCGACTGCCATACGCGCTGGCCAGCTGTTAGCACGACGCATTTTCGCTGGTGACAATAAAATTATGAGTTACGATAACGTGCCAACTACCGTATTCACGCCACTCGAATTAGGTACAGTGGGATTCTCAGAGGAACGAGCTGTTCAAGAGTTCGGCTCCGAAAACATTGAGGTATTTTATTTTGAATCTATTCAGCCCTTATCATTTTTATCAATATTTTGGACACAAAGTGAGACATACGGAAACTAAACGTCAAATCCCTTCACTGCGTGGCCAGTTACATCCCTCCCCCAGCAAAACTCGATTAATTAGGTGGCTTTTACAGGAATGGCGGGGTAGCTCGCGGCAACCTTTCCTTTGATTTGCACGCTCTGTGGAAGGAACCTAGTTCAGGGTGACCAAGTTATCCTTCCGTTCATAAGTAACCCCTTATAGGAATCAGTTTATTGCCTTCATAGACCTCAATCTCAGGCGCAGCAGCGATTCGAATCCGTAGATGGCTGAATAAAAGCCTATCAGGCCCAAGGCCGTGTGGGGAGGCGGGCGTTTTCCATTTGGTCGTCGTACGCTCCTTCTTCTCCTCGAGTCATTCCATGATACGTCACCGCGGCTTCTGTAATGCGTGAGCATTGTCGGTGTCATGCGGTGAATCACTCCCTGATCCGTATTTACCTAGCATAGAGCTTCAGCGCTTACACATGAAAATTCTAACGTTAATGGGCATAGCGTGGTCTAGAAACCCTTATGTCATAGGCAGGCAAGATACACATCCAAGTCGTCTCAACGGGTGCGCGGCGCACTCTGAAGGTTGGTGGTATCAATGTATGAAAGCTTCTCTTTCCAGTAGTGAGCCGAGCTAGGGGCAATGACTTGCTGAATATTTTAAGTTGAAAAATGATTTTGGGTGCATTTGGTATTTCGTTGACTGCACATGGACTGAACGAATACTGACACGCTGTCAGTGAAGCTGGAACATTCCAGTTGGGATCTTGTTTCACTTTCTTAAACTATTCCAGGTGTTTCATTCACACTTTACTCCTTTCGAATACGTCGTTCCACAAGATCCTCAGTCGGCTCATTGCTACGCGAAGGTGATCACTATCTTGTTTGGGTTCTTGTTTGATACCCCAGTGATAACTTCTGTTCAGGTGGTCTGTCTCCGCAATGCGCCCCACAAAATCCTCGGTATGCATATCGTTGGCCCAAACGCGGCTGAGATTATCCAGGGTTATGCCGTAGCACTGAATGCTGGCATCACATTTGAGCAGTTGACTGGTAAGAAAGGCAGACTGAGCTAATTAAATTATCTCGCTTCTGATTCTGCGTGCTATGACTTTCAACGTTGGTTTCATCCCTAGAAAGCTGTGCAATTGTTTCAGATACGATAGCGATTCATCCGTGCACTTCAGAAGAGTTCATAAAAATACACATAACGAAGAGATCAGGATTGAGTCCAAAAGTGCAAGGATGCTGTGGATGACCTTTAGGAGAAAATCGTGCTTTTGTACTTTGTTCAGATCCCATATTGAAATTATTTTGAATAAAATTACCGAGCATAAAATTATTTTCAATCTTTTTTCTTCGCTGAGTGAAGCCGATAAGCCGACTTATGGAACCGCGACGCTACTGAGTTTCATTTTCTAGGAGCCAATGAAAATTTATCCCCTCTGGAACGGTTATTTGTTCCCACGCATGTTTGGGATGACAGTGACATCATGGCGCATCAAGAAAGGATGAAAAGCTGATTTCACGATGAAAAGGCAGCGCATTGTAAATTAGAAAGAAATGGTCAGTGATGCACGAAAGAAGAAAAACCGAGAAAATGGCCAGAACCCGAGAAATGGACCCCTTCCTTGCCCGTTGATTTGCGCATTGATGCGACTCATCGGTGCTGCCCTCTTCAACGCTAACGCTCTCTCTATGCTGAACGGCTAGAGACTCAGACACGAGACGAGGCGAAGGGAGCCGTCCACGGGCCCCCATAAGACGCCGCGGAATTCCCCGAGCTAGATGGCGAGCATATCATCCCGAGTGAAATGCGTGTCGGCCAGTAAAATCATCCCTCCAGAGGTCCTCATGTCACTCCAGTCGAGTGTGTATGCTCAGTGGCACGTTCACTACGACGACGGCCCCCTCCGAACGGGGATCAATTCCTGGGTCGTGAGTCGCCCGGGCCAACCAAGCCTTCCCATCCCTCCGGGGTCGGTTAATTGGTACCAGACTTGTCTGGGAGGATAAAAAACACTGACTTGAACATCGGCTGGCCCCCGCAAGTCATTGTATAGGCCACATCGCATTCAAACGCCACTACGAATGTACAAATGGAAGTAGAATGCGTGCCGCATCCCAAAAAGGGATTGATCAACGGCAAATGCTTTATCCTTTTATCCTTTAGTACACGAGCCTTTCGTGCCCAGTTTTTCTCCTGCAGTAACCATCATGATAGGCAGGTTACCTTTGTCACAGCGAAGGTAGGTAACGAAAGGGATACCTTCACTTGTGAACCAGAATTTTTGCGATGCCACCCCCAATAAATGGCGCCACTTGCTTGCAATCTCCTCATATTGATTTCCTCTATTGCTCACTGAATGTGCCTCACACACTGGACCCACATCCTCGTAGGCCTCGTACCCATTTTGACCAAGTTGTCCCATCAGAATTTCTATTGAACTCATGGAAAGTGAACAGATCGTTCCTCCTTAATATCAAAACGAGACCTTCTGAGTGTTGTCGTTGTAATCAACTTAACGACTTGGTGCTGGATCCTGGGTGAGACATTTCTAGCCCAAAGGTGTCGCTCCAAGACAAGATTCGTACTATTCACTTCAGGTTCACCAAGGTGTGGTCTGCGTAATGGCCATCCCCATGGGTATCAAAAAAGTGTAATTTTGAACGTCTTGAGAGTGGGGATTGTTCTAGCAGTGCCCAATGGGAAATATTTAGCAGACAACACCAATTTTCTTGCTTGATAAGAGCTGACTGATATGTCGTATAAGACTCTGTGGTGTGCAGCTGAAGTAAGGGATCACCAATTATGCACATAATGCCCACAGCTGTCGAAACAGTTCACGAATATGATCTTACGCCAATACATGAGGGACGGTGTGCAGAGCTTCAGTGGCATCTCCCTCCATATCTAACAAGGAGGGCCTTTCAGGACATGGAGCATTTTTTTCAAATGGTTCCCCGGTACTTGTAGATTAACCATGGTACATTTTTCATGTTTTTCATATACGCCCTCAGGAGCACCAAAACGGGGGAGAAGAAATGGTCCAAAGTTCGATCCTCCGTCATGACAAATTTTTGCAATTTATGTTGGGGACTCCAAAATGCCGCAAACACGACAATTACATCTATTCTCGACGATGGAGCCATTTGGCCGCAATCTGGGCCGCCAAACTATATTGCAAAAATTAGTCATCACCGGGGATCGAACTCGGGACCATTTCTTCACCAATGTTTTGACATTCCTGGAGGCGTTCAGGAAAAATGGATTATGGTTCTGTGTTCCTCGTATGAGCCCCCACAACATGCAGAAAACCGTTTCGAAAAAGCGCTCATGTCCTGAAAGACCTCCCTTGTAAGTCGTCTCGGCTATCAATCGCGAAGGCGGCACCTCGACGGGTTTCATTCTCTGTAGAAACACAAGCGAGTTCCACATTCAATAGGGGTCTCACCCAGTAAGGGGCATATTGTGTGCGAAAGTAGCCGGCTACAGAATTCCAGTTTTTCCAAGGGATGGAATCCCCGAGGTGCGCGAACGGTATAGCTCAGGCTTTACACCTCTACAGCTAGCCCAGAGCTTTCCTCCCCTGTAAAAAGTGGGCTACTTCATGCGATACGAACTGTCGCACCACATGCCCCCCCCCCCCCTTACTTGGATGAGACCCTTCACAGCAACAAATTCTATGCAAATAGTGCAACAATCTGTCTAGAAGTGATTTTCGGAAACTGGGTATGCCACTTGAATATATTAGGTTGGCAAGA